TCCATCCATCATCTATTTACTATATCCTTTCATCATGTTTGTCTGTCTGTCTGTCCATCCGTCCATCCATCCATCATCTATTTACTATATCCTTTCATCATGTTTGTCTGTCTGTCTGTCCATCCGTCCATCCATCCATCATCTATTTACTATATCCTTTCATCATGTTTGTCTGTCTGTCTGTCCATCCGTCCATCCATCCATCATCTATTTACTATATCCTTTCATCATGTTTGTCTGTCTGTCTGTCCATCCATCCATCTTATATTGACTACAACATCTATCCTACTGCAATTCTATGGTGCCATGTTATGGCAATTTTTATGTTTTTACTCTAATATATCTGAAATTTGTCTGACTTCTAATTTGTCTGAAATTTGGCATAGATGTTTCCTGCCCGAGCAGGGTGTTAGACTAGAAGACCTCCAAGATCCCTTCCAACTCTGTTATTCTATTCTATTGTATATTTTACCATGTCCAATGTATCATCCGCACACTTTAGGTACATGTATTTTTCTGAGCTTTATTTAAACTTATATCTGTGTTTGTATGGGTAATGTGCTTTATTAGTGTTGTATATCAGTGATTGCATGACCTCTGCAATTGCCATACGGGTAATCCTGGGCTCACAACCACAATTGAATCCAACATTTCTGTTGCTAAGCCACTGTTGGTGGAATGTTCTTGGTGGTTCCTTGATGAAGCTGTTGTTTACGGTTTGATTGTTTGTCTGAGTTGGTGTAGCGTTACTCTTGGTGTTAATCACCTGGGTCACTGACCTAGATCCACTCAGAGTCATTCACAGAGAAGGGTGGCCAAAGAAATAATTAATCTCTGCTTAGCTGGATGTTGATTAATACTGGATCAGGGGTCAGTAACCTGCGGCTCTGGAGCTGCATGTGGCTCTTTCATCCCTCTGCTGCGGCTCCCTGTTGATGGTTGGCAACGTATTTTTGAGAGGAGCTTCCGGTTGGGGTAGGGGGAAGTACGGAGTCCCAGGAGGAGACCCACCAAATGGGTTTTCCGGTCAGCTCCACAATTGATAGGGCTTTCAGTTAGGACAGGTAGAGGAAAAATGACATTGTGCTAGGAAGAGACTCCATAGGGGGCTTCCGGTTATGATCTTTGTGGCTCTTTGAATGTTTAAAGTTGCTGACGCCTGTACTAAATCAACAATACCAGACCAACAATCAGGCTGTAGACAATACCCTATTAAGGAAGCACTGATGTCAGATCAAGCCACTTGTGTGCGAACGGAAAGCTAACCTCGCTCCCTTCCAGCAGCCCCTGATGAGGTTACCTAGTTGCATAATGAAACATCTGCTAGGAAGCCACCTGTGCTCAGAGAGCGCCACAAAATCAACAGCACCCCTAAGAGTCCTTTTTGAGGTGTGCAAAACATTCTGAGGTCCCAGTGCCAACTCATGAGCGATTTTGCTCAAGGTAGGAGGAGAGGCACTGTGAGAAGAGTGGCCCATACCACCAGCTACGGTCATCTTATTCCCGGAGATCTGTCCCTTTTGGCGCATTGGCTCATACCCACAAGGTTCCTGAAAGTAAGTGGTATCTGTATGACGGTCCAAAGCCAGTTTGGTGTAAGCGGTGTCTCCGCGGGAGAAGTCCGAGGTGAAATACCACATCCTGCCGTAGATAGTTTCTCTGGAGGAGGAGAGAAAAGAAAATGAAAGAAGGCGCCAAGAAACAGAGAGAGAACCAGCGTGCGTTTTACAGATTACAGATTAACACAGTTGAAAGGGTCGTCTACTAGGACATCTAGTAGGTCATCTAGTCCAAGAAGGTCATCCCACCAAAGCAGGAGATCCTACACCATTTCTGACAAATGGCAGTCCAGTCTCCTCTTGAAAGCTTCCAGTGATAAAGCTCCCACAACTTCCGAAGGCAACCTCTGTTCCATGGGTTGATTGTTCTCACTGTCAGAAAGTTCCTCCGTATTTCCAGGATGAATCTCTCCTTGTGCAGTTTCCATCCATTATTCCTTCTCTGGCCTTCGGGTGCCTTGGAAAATAGCTTGACCCCCTCCTCTCCGTGGCAGCCCCTCAAATATTGGAACAGGGCTATCATGTCTCCCCTGGTCCTTCGCTTCACTAGACTAGCCA